TTCCGAATGTTATGTTTCAACTAGGTACGTTCCAAAGGTATGTTTCAATCAGGTATGTTCCAAATGGTATGTTTCAACCAGATATGTTCGAATGATGTGTTTCAACCAGGTATGTTCTAATTGGTATGTTCGAATGGCGTGTTTCAACCAGGTATGTTCTGAATGGTATGTTTCAACCAGGTATGTTCCAAATGGCACGTTCCAACAGGTATTTTTTAAGTAGTAAAGGCCTGGGACTTTGGGATATAAATCCCTTGCCAGCCTAATCAGGATCTTATAAAAGGAAAGTCAAGAACCATGGGCTTCCAAGAGGTAACAACCGTTAGAGATTGACATCTCTTTACTACGAAAATAATCACAATACCTGACACCATTCACACAAATATCAAATAAACTAATACGGGAGTCAAACAATTACGAGAATCAAACAAAGTACAGAAATTTCCTACGGCGGCGGTCCGGTGGAATGTTCCGTTGCCAGGGTGGTCAGCTCTCAGGGCGAAGGTCCAGGGCAGCTTCCTCATCTGGCGTAGGCGTTGTTGGGCGATATCTTGCCACACAGGAGAGACGCCAGGGCACGGACGGTGGATAGGGTGTGGAGGAAGTGGCGATGACGTGACAGCCGCAGTCTAGTAGCTGGAGCAGGTGTCCGGAGGTTGACAGCCGAATAGTGAAGGTCTGGAGTCCCAGGAGCTTAAGATGAGCACACAACCAGAATTTGAACGAACAGCGGGGTGCAAGTACAGCTGTGTTGACGGCTGGGCAGTGTCTGATGTGTGACGAAGCAGCAGCAACATTCTCACCTCCGTCTACCCCCTTGGTGGGGCTGCGAACAAGCAAACGAGCGGGGGACAACCATCCTGCTCGTTACAGCCCTTACACAGTTCCCCCAACAAAAAACTACTGTAAGGTAGATTAAAACTTAAGATTAGTACAACAAAACATATAACAATACTACAACAAATGGTTAAATATGCAGAGCAAAATAAAGAATAGAGAATGGTCACATTAAAAAGAATAAGTGGTAACTTGATGTCCAAATATCATAAGGTCGTATCAAGGAACTGCACGTGGGATTCACTTCAGTCCAGGTTTAAATTTGGGCCCATTGCCAGTCGTAGAGGATTCTTCTATACCGTCCGGTGTTATCGGTAACTGGCAACCGAGATCATCCGAGTCTGGCGCCTGAACTTCTCAAGAACTCTTGCAGGGTAGTGCCTCGACTGACTCCAGCATGGGAACTTCGTCAAGGACACGAGCAAAGTTAATGTGGGCCCTGCAATTATATTTCCTTAACAAATTAGTTTGATATAATTTAGGTTTCTTAGAGGAAGGGGGTGAGCACGGTCCAACAAAATCTATGGCTACCCGAGAAAATGGCTCTGTAATGATGGGTAAGGGTTCAAGAGGAACAGGACTTACTCTACCCTTGGCGGACATACGCTGGCACTGATCACAACTCCTACAAAAGTCTCTAATGTCCGCTCCCATACCTGGCCAGTAAAACTGATCAGCAACCTTCATATAAATCTTTCTACGAGAACAGTGTCCTGCTAGAGGGCTCTCGAGAGCTACAGAGAGAATGTTACTACGACAATCAGCAGGGACAACCAGTAAAAACGGACCTACTTTGGCTGGTTGCTTGGATGACGCACAAGACCTATGTAAGAGACCATTAATACAAACAAACTTGTAAACAGACCCATCTCTAACCTGATCCTCCTCCCCGGAAGTCACCTTCTCCCTCACCGGCGTCAGAGTGGTACACGAGGCTTGAAGCTTGGCGAACTTCTTGGGCGTCACAGTCAGTGGCTGCATTTTCGGCAGAACCAGGGGTTGCAGTCGTTTCTCTTTTGCCGACCGTGTCTCCACAGCTTGGACCTTTGCTGGAGGTGAGGTGGCGTGTGAGGGTGACGAGACGACGTCGGCAGGTGGCGAGAAGACGTGGTTAGTTGGTGAGGAGACTGGCGCTGGTGGCGAGGATTGTTTTAAAGGTTCCGGGTCGTTAGGGTCACGAACTCCGAGAACATTATCAATGAGAACACTGGCGAATTTAATGGGCGCTCTTACCACATTACTCCAACCAATGAAATACGGGCAACGCAGGTAGCACCTAACAACAGGGAACTAGTCAACACGACCTAAATAATCGGCGACACTAACCTTCGAGCAGCTGGAGACGTCAGCGTCAGGCAGGGCTTCCTCAGAGACAATAATGCACGAGCAACCAGTGTCCCTGATGATAGTAGATGCCCAAGACCCATTTATTGTTCCGCTGACACAATAATGGGGGCAGCTCCTGTCTTCCAAACAGAATCCGACCTTGTAGCTGGGCTGATGAATGTCGGTAGATTTGAAGGCGCGGGGATTCCTGGGACAGCGAGAACGAATGTGCCCTTCTTTCCCGCAGTTGTGGCACCGCACGGCCGGTGAAATACTCCTCTCTACTCCTGCGAATGGTTCCTCGGAGGCCGGAGGCTTCGTGTTCTTCACTGGAGGAGTGGGAGACTTGGGGTAGGCGTTGCGAGCGGACGCCCAGCTGTCAGCAAGTTCTACAGCTTCTCCTAGCGTCGCTGGCCTGTGTTCCTCGATGAATATTCTCAAGTGTGGCAGTAGAGAAGACAGAAACTGATCCAATATCATACAGATAGCGACAGACACAAAGGTTTCCTCAACCTCTGACGCCTTTATCCATTGTTGAAACAAACGACCCAGGTGGATTGAAAATTGCTGATATTTTTCCCTTTCCCTAATCTTTGTTCTGCGGAAGTGAACACGATAACCATCAGAAGTCTTGTTAAACCCTCGCAAGAGAGCTTGCTTCAACAAAGTGTACTCTCTTGTGATGTCGGCAGACAGGGACGTATAAATCTGTTCCGGTTTACCACTCAGTAGCTACCCAATCTTACAGCATAGCTGTCTTTGTCCACACCAAGCAGCTCAGCTACCCATTCAAACCTAACAAGGTAGGAAGCGATGTCTTCTCCTTCACGATAAGCAGGCAAACTAGGTTTTACTACATTATCTTGTATAGGGCCAGAGGATTCTGGTCTACCTTGAGCATTAATCCTATGCTCACACAGAACTCACACGGATATCAAATAAAGAAATACGGGAGTCAAACAATTACGAGAATCAAACAATGTACAGATATTTCCTACGGCGGCGGTCCGGTGGAATGTTCCGTTGTCGCGGTGGTCCGCTCTCAGGGGGAAGGTCCAGGGCAGCTTCTTCACTTGGCGCAGGCGTTGGTGGCGATGTCTTGCCACACAGGAGAGACACCAGGGCACGGACGGTGGAGAGGGCGTGGAGGAAGTGGCGATGACGTGGCAGCAGCGGTAGTAGCTGAAGCAGGTGTCCAGAGGTTGACAGCCGATTAGTGAAGGTCTGGGGAATCAGCCCACGAGTCCCAGGAGCTTAAGATGAGCACACAACCAGAATTTCAACGAACAGCATGGTGCAGGTACAGCTGTGTTGACGGCGGGGTCGTGTCTGATGTGTGACGAAGCAGCAGCAACCTTTTCACCTCCATCTTCCCCCCCCCCCCCTAGTGGGGGCAGCGAGCAAGCAAACGAGCCGCCGACAACCATCCTGCTCGTTACCACCTGTTCTGACTGGTGTGATCTGACAGGTATGTTCTGACTGGTATGTTCTTACTGGTGTGTTCTGACTGGAATGTTCTAACTGGTATGTTCTGAATGGTATGTTCTGAATGGTATGTTTTCACTCCAACCCTCAATTGTTCCGTGTTACCCAGTCCTGACTTAATCAAGATACAGTATCTTATTACTACTGTTAATAGAGGGTCATGCAATCACCCATTCCCTTTCATACCTTCAGCTACTGGTGTTGTTAGTGTGGTATACACTCCTCAATTATACACTTATGCTCTATGTCCTCACACACACACACAGATAGGTGGCCAGGTGTGTTTATACAGTACATTAGCATAGTGGTTGTGCTGGTCAGCATACATCTGCTTCCTTATTCCTAATTAACACTTCGTAGCCCTTGGTCGCATTTTTTCATTAGTGGGTGCTATAGGAGAGGCGTCACGAAGTTGGGTAGGTTGATCCCGCAGATTTCACCAATATCGGCCGGTGTTGAGGCTTCATGAAATCAGGTAGGTTGATCCCGTAGACTTCCCCGTGGGCAAATCCCTCCCCCCTCTCACCCAGTCTCCCTGAGCCGGTTAGTTAATTCCCAATTAACCAGGTTGGTTCACATATATTATATTGGGCTTTAGTAACGAAACCCAATTGAAGTTTCTTCTTTTATTAGAAAAGTATTATGTTTATATAATTCCTGAGTGTAGATCAACCGTAAGTTCCACTATTTATGAGTGTGATGAGAAAGGGACGGTGTTTATGTATATAAACGTGAATCAACGTCCGTTCGATATTAGTTGGTGTGAGTGACTGCTTGAAGGCGTCGCCTTGGTGGGCGCTTACATAGATGCTGACATATGGGCTTCTCCCTATTGGGAAAGCTTACCGTTCACGTGTTCAGTTCATGTCCTCACAGATAGTGGAAAATTACATGGGATGAATCTGAATATAAATCAGATGTAAATAACCCATTTATATAATACTTCTGTTGATGAGACAGGGGTCATTACATCCCCTCAGACCAATAGTATGACTATAATTGCACACTGCCTAACTCGGTTGATAGAGGACTAAGAGGAGTTAATCAAAACCGTCCAGTATCATATGACAATTTTTAATTGGTCATTGTAATAAAGTCATGCTACACTTGTACACTTGAACCCATGTCTTCTATCTTGATATGTTATTTTTCTTATCATTGGGTTTGTTTTGTTTAAGGTTAAATTATATTAATAATTTTCATTGTTCCCTTCACTTACTAGAATGTTCTTTTGTTCTCTTCCAGATGCCATACTACCCTTGGTCAGTTATATGATCAATAAAGCCTAGAAAAAGGTCGACTCTAGTCTTCTTTCACCACAATTTATTGTTCATAACTGAAACTGAGTCATAATGAAGAAGTTCCTGAGGCCGGAACGTCTGGATGCTACGCCGAACTCTCCTACCACTTCAAAGGAGTGGCGCCACTGGTTCCGGACCTTCAACTCGTTCCTCACCTCCATTTCTGCTCTCGAGCCCGATAAGCTAGCCACTCTCTGCAACTTCGTCTCCTCATCTGGTTATGTAAGACTTGTACATAAAGCCGAAGAACGAGGTGTTCACCCGTCATCTACTAACTACCAAGAGGCAACAGTCGGGCGAGAGTTTGGACGAATATTTACAGGAACTTCGTCAGCTCAACAAGGACTGCAACTTAAAAGCTGTCACAGCATAGGCGAACAGAGACGAGTATATCCGCAACGCTTTTATCAATGGTCTACTATCTCCTATGATCAGACAGCATCTCAAGAAAACAAGACTCTCAATTTGGCTACTGCGTTCGACCAGGCTCGCCCGCTTGATCTGGCTCAAAGAAACACCGAGTCCTATCTTCGGTCTCAGGTTCCTACGAACACTGCCGCTGTTATTTCACCTGAGAAAATCGACATTGATGGCTCTCCCTTCTTAGCTGCCACTCAGCAACCAAAGTGTTATTTCTGTGGTGGAGCACGGCTTAACCGACCTCAGTGTCCTGCACGTAATTCAACTTGCCACAAATGTAACAAAAAAAGGCCATTTAGCGAAAGTATGCAGATCATCTCGTTACTCACCTGCTACTTCATCTTTCACTTGTGCGGTCTTACACTCTCCTACTTTGGCTGCAATATCTGCGACTTCCCCTGGCTGTCTCGCTCGATCTACCATATATGTGCTTGTTAATGACGATACAGCTACAGCGCTCGTTGATACCGGGAGCTCAAAATCGTTTATATCAAACTGCTATATCCAGCAGAAGTCTCTGAAGTGTCATCCAGGGTCAGGTCACATGTCTATGGCCTTGTCTTCCCTATCATCGCCAGTACTAGGTCACTGTACTGTAGACATTACCCTCAAGGGGAAACTCTATCCAGATACTCGACTAACTGGTCTTCCCGACCTATGCAGTGACGTTATTCTTCGTCAAGATTTCATGAGCCTACATAGTGGTATTACTATTGATTTCGGTGGGCCTAAAGAGCACCTAATCATCGGGGATAATACAGTTGCTTTTAGCATAACATCTGCTTTGGTCGATCCACCATCTCTCTTCTCTAATCTGACCTTCCCCTGTAAACCTGTTGAGACGAAGTCAGGACGATTTAGTCAAGCGGACAGGGTTTTCATCCAAGGTGAAGTCGATAAGATGGTGTTGGGAGGAATAATCGAACCCAGCACTTCACCATGGAGGGCGCAAGTCCTCATTACTACTAATGAGCGGAACAAAAAGCGGCTTGTTGTTGACTACAGCCAAACCATCAACAGGTATACCCAGCTGGATGCTGATCCCTTGCCCCGGATAGACGACTTGGTGACTAACCTATCTCGTTACAAGATATTCAGCACTCTCGACCTAAAGAGTGCATACCATCAGATCCCTATACGGAATACAGACAAGCCATTCACTGCCTTTGAAGCGAACGGTAAATTGTACCAGTTCCGTAGGGTCCCATTTGGAGTGACGAAAGGCGTGGCTTGTTTCCAATGACCCATCGATGAATCCATATGTAGGAACGAACTGCAGGGTACTTTCTCGTACATTGACAACATCACCATCTCTGGTTCGTCTCAACAAGAGCACGATGAAAATCTGTCCAGATTCCATGAGGCAGCAAAGAAGTCAAAATTTACCTTCAATGAAGACAAATGTGTCTTCTCAGCAACATCGATTAATTTGTTAGGCTACACCATATCGCATGGTACTTTCAAGCCAGACGCCGATCGCCTGCGTCAGCTAAATTGACGATACGATTCCATTCGTAGTAGAAACCGACGCTTCCAACTCTTCCATCGCTGCCTCCCTGAATCAAGCCGGTAAGCCAGTTGCATTCTTCTCGAGAACACTCTCAAACAGTGAGTGCAGACACTCTTCTGTCGAAAAAGAGGCCTTATGCTATCGTTGAAGCAGTAAGGAAATGGAAAATTTCCTATCTGGCAGACACTTTAATCTCATCACCGATTAGCGATCTGTGTCCTTCATGTTCCACTCAAAGAAGCTGGGAAAATCAGGAACAACAAGATCCAACGATGGCGGGTCGAACTAGCCTGCTTCGACTACGATATTTTCTATCGGCCAGGGACTGAAAACTCAGCTGCTGATGCTCTATCGAGAGCCTTCTGTTCGGCTACCGACCACAACAATCTGTCAGATCTCCATCAACAACGGTCATCCAGGAGTCTCAAGGATGGCTCACTTCATCCGCATTCGCAACTTACCATATTCTGTAGATGACGTCAAGAAGTTATGTGCTGAGTGCTCTACCTGTGTCAGGCTGAAACCTTAGTTCTACAAACCCGACACAACCGCCCTCATCAAAGCTACTCGGCCTTTTGAACGGTTAGACATCGATTTCAAGGGTCCCTTGCCGTCGACTTCCCGAAATCGATACCTATTAACCGTGGTTGACGAACATTCATGATTCCCCTTCGCGTTTGTATGTGAAGACATGACCGCCGCAACAGTCATCAAGTGTCTGCGTCAGTTATTCGCTATATTCGGCATGCCTGTTTATGTCCACTTGGATCAAGGCACCTCCTTCATGAGCCGAGAGCTGAGAGATTTCCTCATTAGTTATGGTGTGTCTACCGGCCGAACTACCCCATACAACCCTAGAGGAAATGGTCAGTGTGAGCGCTACAACGGAATAATATGGAAAACCATTACACTCGCTCTTAGGTCCAAGAACATCGCAGAAATTAATTGAGAATCTGTGTTACCTGACGCACTTGATTTTCTATTCGGTCTGTTATGTACTGCCACCAACAAAACGTCTCATGAAAAACTGTTCAACTTCCAACGCCGATCAGCCCGTGGTAGTTCGATGCCAACCTGGCTTTCCTCTCATGGACCAGTCTTGCTACGAAGACATGTCAGGAATAGTAAGTACGACCCTTTGGTTGATGAGGTTGAGCTTCTGGAAGCCAATCCATAGTACGCCCACGTTCGGTTCCCTGATGGACGACAGTCTACCGTGTCACTCCGAGACCTGGCCCCTGCTGGACAAGCTGTTACAGATACTGCCGATCCCGAACCTGAACCGACTAAGTTACCTCGGTGCCTCTTGAACCTACACTCGGCACTCCAGTGGCTGAATCTCCTGTCAATGACGACCTTGTAAGTGATGTTCGTCTGCATGAAGCTGTTTTGACAGATTCACCCTCGCTTCCTCGTCGATCGGGTCGTGTACGCCGGAAGCCTGATTTTTATGGTTGTCCTCATGTCTAATTCAGCAAGATGAGTAGAATGTAATAAAGTTATGCTACACTTGAACCCATGTCTTCCGTCTTGTTATGTTATGTTTCTTATCATTGGGTTTTGTTTTGTTTGGGGTTATATTATATTAGTAATTTTCATTGTTCCCTTCACTTACTAGAATATTCTTTTGTTCTCTTCCAGTTGCCATACTACCCTTGGTCAGTTATATGAACAATAGAGCCTAGAAAAAGGTCGACTCTAGTCTTCTTTCACCAAAGTCATACCTGGAAATACATGTCCCACTGTCAGCTGAAAGTACTAAACACGCAACAGCACCTATATTTGATGTATTTAACCACAACATTACATAAATTAATTTCTTAAATTAGCTTAATCTTACATACATCAACAATTACCAAAACTCACTAGTGAACGACTTGAGATTGAGCCATGTGTCTGGGTACAGACTGCAGACGATTGTTAGTGAGTTATCACTGCATTGGACACTGTAAATTTCACCGTCACCAACTGTCACACTAAATCACTGATGCTTGGTATTGGTTAAAAGTCGTCTCCGTACTAGACTTCCTTGCCTCTCCACAGTAACCCACAAACTGCCCACACACGGTCCTGAGTATGGTTCAAAAACACACATCTGCTCGCTAATGTACTGACGCTGACCACTCAAAACACGACACCCATCCTTCTTTCCTCTCTCTCTCTCTCTCTCTCTCTCTCTTTCTCTTCTCCTCTCTTCCTATCTCTCTCTCTCCCTCTCTAATTACCTACAACAGTTACTTCACTCACTACACATACAACAGTCAACAGTTACTACATATACAACTCCTACGACAGTTACTACACACACTACACTTACAACAGTCAACAGTTACTATACCCACTACAACTACAGCACTTATTACACTCATTGTTCCTACAACAGTTACTACACACACTACACCTACAACAGTTATTACGCTCACTATACCTACAGCAGTTACTACACGCACTACACCTTCTACACCCACTACACTTACAACAGATACAACACCCATTACACCTACAACAGTTACTACACCAACTACACCTTTAACAGTAGCTACACCCATTACACCTACAACAGATACTACACTCACTAAATCTACAACAAGCCAGACAGGTGTAACAGGAAGTATGACAGGGCTCACGACAGTAAGGAACACATCATTCTAAGAGGGTCTTAGAAGAAGTTACCACGAGCCGCTGTACTGGTGTGACAACTTCAAAAGCTTGTAGTAACTTATGTGAGGGCCTCGACAGGTTGAGAAAGTATGTGAGAGAATTTTCAAATCTTGCCAGGGATTTCCATAATCCATCTCACGAACTCACAACTATAGTAAGACCTTTATAATGTACGTGGAGTGTCTGATGATGTGCAGGGTGAATTTTAGAGGAAATATAATGCTTTTAGTGGATAGTAAGGATATATTGACTTATAGAAAGATTTACCAAATCCTACACTAAGAATTCAGTCTGGATAAGGAATTTACATATTGGAAACGAAATATTGGCCTACCACATCTTGCAATAAGAATTTCAGAATCAGAATAAGAATTTTAGAGGATGGGAAGGATAAATAGTCTTGCATAATAATTTGCCACATCCTAAACAGGAATTCCTTGGCCGCATAAGGGTTTTAGAGTCTGGTAAGGATTCTTTGGTCTACTGGAGCATTTGCCACATCCTACAAGGCATCGCCATGAGCCACTAATGGTTTGAAAATCACCTACAGAGTCGAGCAAAATGGAGTCGAGGCTTAGAACATAATTATGTAGCAAGAGTAAGCAGATGCATGGAGTATCTTTAACCAACCATAAACAACATTCAATAACCACGTAAATCATATATAGATGTAATAGGCTCAACATTCATAGAGTACAGCGACACCTCTCTCCTATTTATTTTGAAGGTATTTGACCTTTGACTTCATGAATTCTTAAAAAGGTCAAAGCAAATTAAAAAGAGGTTGCGGATGTATTGGTTGATGGTACGGGTCTATTATGTTTTAAATTAATTATCGCGTAATTGTAGGAGTAATCGATTAATTATATGTTTGGAAAAAAACAAATATATACAATGTAATATAAAAGAAAACTTTAATAATAAGATATATCTTTATGCATAAATATTGTCATTATAATCATCATCATTGCTAAAAATATATCATATATTTGTAAATGTAAGCTGTACGTGAAAGCCAGGCAGTGCCGAAGTGCTCGTGCAGGCGTTGTCTCTGAGAAAATAAGTTGTGATGCTGACTTGGTTTCCAGGAATTGTTGACGTTCGCGACTCACACGTCCTCAGTAACGCGGATTCACAGCGGATTTGTGGTGGATTTTGTATGCGTTCACGGGCACACCCGAAAACTAGGATAAAGTTGATCATAGAGATAAATAGAGATGGAGAGAGAAAAAGAAATAAAATATAGAAAGAGATTTAAAAAGGGTGA